ACGGAACTCTGTCGTTAAGTGAGGAGAGGCTGTAATGCCGATGGTGACACACTTCAAATCGCTAGTGCTCTCTCACTTAGAATATTGTTCAGTGCTGATGGCCCATTCAAAACAGGAGAAATATCAGAGTTGGAACAAATACAGAGATCGTTTACAGCTCACATTGAGCCAGTAAAGCACCTAAATTACTGGGAATGCCTTCAAGTCTTGAACATGTACTTAATGGAGTGGAGGAGAGATACACGATAATACACCTACCATCTGACTTACGACTTGCTCGACTTACGACCGTGTTTTTTATGCCAAATTTCTGGGAAATAAACAACTATTTGTGTTGTACACAGTGTTTATCTTAAACCGTACAGTATAAAATACAGTACTAACAACATAAAAAGTAAAGTAAAACATGAAATACCAAAATAAAACAATAAAATAAAGTCATTACAAAAATGTTTTGTTAATATTCAGTAGTAAGGTTCGACTTACGACCGGTTTCTCGGAACCGAACTCAGTCGTAAGTCGGATGGTAGGTGTACATACCTGGAAAGTACTCAAGGGCCTGATATCTTGCCAGAAGATATCAGAAATATGGCTGGAACAAATATAGAAGCCTTCAAGAGGAAACTGGACAAGTATCTTCACCAGGTGCCAAATCAACCAGGCTGTGATGGATATGTGGGGCAGTGGGCCTTCAGCAGCAACTGCCTGGTTGACCAGGCAAGCATCAGACGAGGCTGGCCCATGGCCGGGCTCAGAGAGCAGTTAAACTCTTGAGACTCTTCAAAGGTAAGGTATATGTGATCGACTGGTTATGGGGGATGATTGGTATTTATATAATGCCAGTAATGTACCCTTGGCAATTCACATGACACTACTACAACATTTTTTTTATGTACTGGTACTTGATGATTTGAAGGGTTAAGACTTAATTTTTTATTAAGTTGTGTAAAGTAACTGCAGTATAGGTTTTTGTAATTTATATTCCTATATCTAAAGCAAAAATATACAGTAGAACCCCCATGTCCACTGTTGCGGTGTCTGCGGTTTCAGTTATGCACGGTTTATTGTGGCCCAAAAATAAACCTTAATTTTGCTTAATAATGGCCCCAAAGTGCAAAAGTAGTTATGCTAGCAGTTCTTCGAAGCCTAAGAGAAGCAGTGAAATGCTTCCTATCAGTGAAAAAGTGCTAATTCTACACTTAATTTTGCATAATTTATCAAACTTTATTATAGGTATGTATGTAAACAAAAAATGACATAGTATACAGTGGACCCCAGATATCGTAGTCATCGGATTTAGTAATATTTGGAAATTGTAACTTTTTTCGTCAAAATATTGGCTTGGTGATTGTCATTGAGCTCGGTAGTAGTCATTCGTCCCGAACGTGCCCACACGACAACACCGGCCCGACACTCAGTGTGCCATTGTTTACCAGCCACTGAGCATGATCTCTCGCTTTCATATGATACATTTCGTATTAATTCCATTCTTTTTAGTGCTTGCATCTGCTAAATAAGTTTCCATGGGCCCAAAGAAAGTTCCTAGTGCCAGCCAGCCCTTTTGTAAAAGGCTGAGAGAGAGGGGAGAATGTGCCTTCTTCAGTGATTCTGCAATATGTACGATACTAAAGCAGCAGGAGTCGATAAAGGCTATAGCGTCGGCCAGCGATAAAGTGTAGCAAGTAAGTTAAGTGATTAATCGATAGAAAAAGGACAGCACGAAACTAACTCCTCCATTGATGTTGGAGGTGCATATGGCTAATAACTAACCCTGCCTCCATCACCACCACTATGTAAGGCTTATCTTTCAGTGGCCCTTAAACACCCAACAACAAACAACACAACAACACTCGTCACATACGTAATGACCTATTTTTATCATTCTATAGTATATATCATGTTTCTATGTTATTAATATTGTTTATTACGTCATATTAGATGAATTGTGCTAGATAAATAAACTGTAGAGTTGATGTTAGTATCATTGAAGGACAATCTTGTCCTGTCTCCCAACGCATTCCCCTGCCGCTGCCACAATTCCTAACATACGCCAGAAACAGCTCTCTGGAACACTTTTTTGAGCGACAGGGATCCAGTGACTCTCAAGCTGGTCCTAGTGGCATTAAAAAACAAAGAAGGGAAATACCCCAGAAAAGGACTTGGTACCTGAAGTGTTTATGGAAGGGGATTCCCCTTCCAAACAGTAATTCCTCCATCCTCTCCCCTCCTCCTGTCTTCAGTACACTAAGAAGAACCTTCAGTAAAGGTAAGTGTCATGTTATTATTGTTTTATTCTTCATGTCTCATTTTTTCTGTGTAGGTAAATGTATATTTCATGTAAAAATAAATTATTTTTTTAATACTTTTGGGTGTCCGGAACGGATTAATTTGATTTACATTATTTCTTACGGGGAAAATGAATTTGGAAATCGTCAAATTCGGCATTAGTCACACTCTCTGGAACGGATTAATTACGATAACTGAGGGTCCACTGTATAGGGTTTGCTACTATCTATGGTTTCAGGTGTCCATGGTAGGACTTGGAACGTATCCCCAGCGGGTACAGGGGGGACTATTATAATTGTTTTCTAATTATAGTGGACCCCCGAGTTTCGTGATTAATCCATTCCAGAGAATCTGCCGACTGGCGAAATTCACGATTGGCAAATCTGTTTTCCCTATAAGAAATAATGGAAACCCAATTAATCTGTTTCAGACAGCCAAAAGTATTAACAAAAAATAATTTTTTTTTAAAGATTAAATATAGATTTACATACAACAAACAGTGATAAATAAATATAAAGCACTAATAAAATGGATAAATGAACATTTAACATCACACATAACCTTTATTGATTCTTGTTGGTGTAGGAGGTAGGTAGGAGGCAAGAGGAAGGCAAGTTTATTATGCTTCAATATGACGCTAATATCATCTCTACGGTTTATTTATCTATCACAATTCATCTAATATGACATTATAAACAATATTAATAACATAGAAACATGATATATACTCTAGAATGAATAAAATGTCATAATGTATGAGAGGAGTAAATGATGTAAGTGTTGTTGTTGGGTTTAAGGGCCGCCACTGAGAGAAGCCATGTTGGTGGTGGTGGAGGCTTTGGCCGCCGCCACCATCACACTCAAACAATGTATGTAATTTATAAATAAGAAATATTTACATTTTAATTTATAAATAAGAAATATTTACATTTTAATTTATAAATAAGTAAGTTTATTCAGGTATACACAAATACAGTTACATACATAGATTATCATACATAGCAGCATAAGTGTAAAGTACCCAGGATAACCCAAAGATTCAAGAGTGACATATTTCCATTGGTGTCCTTTTATATTTATACTTATATTTACTTTTATACTTACACTTTTATATTTACACTTACCTTGGAGGAGATATCAGTTTAATTAGTTAGTTTGATGAAGGAGATGTTGGCAGAGGTTTAGGGTGGTGGAAGATAGCAGGGCGGTGTATGTTCAGTGGTCCTATACACATCCAACAACATTGGAGAGTTACTCTCATGTTTTTCTATCGCTTACTCTCTTAACTTACTTGTTACACTGTTAATTCTGCACTTTATCGCTGGCTGGAGCTATAGCCTTTATCGATACCTGCTGCTTTAGTATCGTACATATTGTAGAATCACTGAATCACTGCAGAAGGCACATTCTCCCCTCTCTCTTCCTCCTCTACTTTAGTACTTTGCTATGAGTTTTTTCTTGAATCATATCATGTTTCTCACCTTCTTTACCAAAGGGCTGGCACTAGGAGCTTTCTTTGGGCCCATGGTGGCTTATTTAGCAGTTGCAAGCACAAAAAACAATGAATTATTATGAAATGTGTTGTATGAACCTGTGGGGTAATAGTCACATGCTGGTAAACAATGGCACACTGAGTGTGAATAGTGGCTTTGTGTGCGCGCAGACAGGCAGATGCGTACCAGAAGGTCGCTGAATCACGAGTCCAATCATGAACCATGAAGCTAAATTTTGCCGAAAGTTGGATTTCACGAAAGTCGCTGCCGCCGAACGGCAGGGGTCCACTGTAGTATTTCTTTGATCTTATTTATACAAAATGACTTAATTGGCAAAAAGCCATTCTTGTCAGATGCTTGAGACAGACAAGAGAATCTAAGCTTTCTTGAGAAAATTTGTAATCATACATATATCCATTTTAAACCATACCACGGGCAGGATTTGAACCCGCGGTCAGAGTCTCAAAACTCCAGACTGTCACGTTAGCCACTGGACCAGCTAGCCACAATAAGATTCGTCCAACTAGGTATATTTCTACACCATAGGAAGGTTAGCATAGGCACCACTGTGACCACAAATGCAAGTTTTTACAGACGAATCTCCAGCTAGCATGGCTGTGACGAACTCTAGCTCAAGTCCCCTCACTGCCATCAACATGACTCACGAAATCATAAGGGGACTTGAGCTAGAGTTCGTCACGGCCACGCTAGCTGGAGATTCGTCTGTAAAAACTTGCATTTGTGGTCACAGTGGTGCCTATGCTAACCTTCCTATGGTGTAGAAATATACCTAGTTGGACGAATCTTATTGTGGCTAGCTGGTCCAGTGGCTAACGCGACGGTCTGGAGTTTTGAGACTCTCTGACCGTGGGTTCAAATCCCGCCCGTGGTATGGTTTGTTTGCAATTGTGTCATTACGATTTCGGGAGTCATGTTGATGGCAGTGAGGGGACTTGAGCTAGAGTTCGTCATGGCCACGCTAGCTGGAGATTCGTCTGTAAAAACTTGCATTTGTGGTCACAGTGGTGCCTGTGCTAACCTTCCTATGGTGTAGAAATATACCTAGTTGGACGAATCTTATTGTGGCTAGCTGGTCCAGTGGCTAACGCGACGGTCTGGAGTTTTGAGACTCTCTGACCGCGGGTTCAAATCCCGCCCGTGGTATGGTTTGTTTGCAATCGTGTCATTACGATTTCGTGAGTTATATTAATTTTTTTACAGGCAGAGGAGTTAGTGAAAAAGAAATTTCCAGAACGCATCATTCATTTCAACAAACTTCTAGAGGAGTCACCATTCCTCTGTGAAAACCTTGAAGCTGTCCACTCTGACCTCAAAATTCCTGTACCAGAGCCATTTATTGTGAACAAGTGAGTTGGAATGCAGTGTTACACTGATAAAGTACAATATACAGTGCCAGTCTGTAGAGCTTTATATAATAACTTAGAGTTTTACATTGGTCTAGTATATACGTATTACTGTACCTATTTGTTGAGCTTCATGTGCAGATTATTTCAAATTTATTAGCTACATTATAGGTTTCATAAGTGAAGTTTCAGCCAAGCGGCACTCTTAATAGTTATAAATATACAAATTCTAAGTTTTTGTATAATCAGATGTTGAACAAAATATAAATACTTAAATGTTTAGCAAAACATTATGAATATTGGTATCGCTGTGATATGTGGCATTTTGTATTTATCCTTGATGAAAGAAAGATGTCTAGTGAGCTCCCTTAATATACTTTATCAGCTCTCTCTCAAATACAGTCTTGTAATACTAAAATTCCTGTATCCTATTTCTAATCAGTGTTTACTTGTGATGGAACATTACTAAAATATTTTACCCATACCACTACTCAGTTTTAGGTCATGCCCACCTATGGTATACAAATGCTTTGGCACATCTCCTAGTGTGTACTTGGAGATATCACATAATTAGTGGCAAACACCTGTAAGACAATCCTAGGCAATCCAGAGTCCTAACAGCAGGCCAGTTATTTCCTGACATTCCCTGAAGCCACTGTACTTTTCGAATTGTCTGAGGATATTCCCTTGAGTGGGGAAGACTGCATTTCAGTGTCTGCACACACCCTGATGCTGGGTCACCATACTGTGATAGCTGGGTTTGAGTAGCCAGTGTTCTTGGGTAAGAGCACAGCAACCCATTTTCACCCAGTTAGTGGTGTACTTTCCCTTTTGTCAAGGTTTGCTATGATTTATAACATATGACTTTCAATGAAAATGCTTTATAGATATGGTTTTGACTGCACAGTACTGTGATTCTGATATTTGTAAATATGATAGTAAATTAGTCTTCAAGCTGTGAATTGGTATTGATTGCAGAGTGTTGGAAGTGTGGAAAATTTCAAATGATGTTAAGATTTTCCTAGAGAAATTAACTTTCTCCTGATCGTTATTCCTACAGGTTGAGGTCTCTTGGGTTCCTCTGTGGGCCCCTCTCTAGAGACTGGTTCAGCTGGGCCTTGGGTTCTGGATTTCAGTACATAACTCTTCACCTTGCATCTGGATCAAGAGGCTATTAGCGATAATATTGGACAGCCTAGTAAACATTCTAGCCATCTTTCTGAGATCTGGGCTATGATTGTTTAGGGTTGCTGCTCTCTACAGGAGCAGCTGACTTGTGAAAGGGATCAGTTTAGTCTCAATTCTGGGGGGCCCCCTGGCCCTTTGCTTCTTTGCTACAGAGACTTCATGACTTGTGCCCTTAACTTAATACACCTCTAAACCTTCCTAATATGCACTGAACCTGCCTCGCCATAATGCTCAATGCCTGCTCTCCTCCCAGTGAGCTTTGCTTACAATATTTTCCAGAGAGTCTGGGCCTCTACTTCATGGTCACGAGGTGTGTCTTCTCTTCTTAGATGCTGTCTCCATTGGGGCTTTCTCTCCCTTCTTCCCATGGGTACATGAAGACCCAAAATTCAGTACTTCTATTTCTGAAATATTCCTCCTTCCATGCACAGGTCATGCTCAAGCCTGCATTTGCCAGGAGCCTCTGATAGCACCCTATTCTTTAGGCAAGATTGTCTTTGACAAGCAAGCAGTGAGGTTGTATGTATCAACCAATTGTATGTGGAACTTGCTCATCATTGTTGGCACAAGCAGATGGTGCCCATCTGCTTGTGTCATCAGTGGTTTTGGTGAATTCATTCCCTTCCATTATCCTCTGTCCCCTACCATCTTTTTTTCAGTTTAACAGATTGGTGTCTTTTTTCATCTTTACTAGTATATCCTTCAAGGGGTATGCCCTGATGCTGATGAAGGATTCAAGGAATTGGAGTTACCTTCCTTTTCCTTGGGGTCAAATCCAATTCTTTAACATTTTCCTGGTGATGTATCACCATTACTGATTTAGTGTTTCTTCGTGATGATACAGGTACAACGTCGATTTACCAGGACCTCTTTTAATCCTTATAGAATTGCTAGACTACTTTTTTGCTAAAATAGTTTACTGGGCATTGTATATAGTGTTTGCTCACTTATATTGTTTACACTGCAGTTGTTGGTGGTTATCCCTTGAATTTGTGCAGTTCTTAGCATATTTTGCTAACAGTTAACCTTAGCTATAGCTTGGGTTAATAGTTGTACAAGTAACTTGTTAATAGCTGTGGCTATTGCCAAGTTAATTGAGTTGTCGGGTGAATTAGTCAAAGGGCTAGAACAGCATTGCTTTGAGACAGAACAAGAGCTAATGAATTTTTATTTGATGCATGAAAAATTACACAGGGAAAGATCAAAGAACATGAAACAACTTTGTGTGGATGAAAAATTTATAAAGATAGTCAAGAAGAATGTGTCATGGCAGTAAGCCTTAATTTGAAAATCCTATGGCTTCAACTTCAAGTATTCCTGGTGTCCAACCTGTAACATCACATATCCATTGTGAAACAATCAACTGTGAAAGTGTAATCCTGACAACCCTCAACCTCCAGACCTTTGTGATTAGCTCTACAGTTCCATTAAAATTCTAAAATTTACCACTTTGGGAGTGCTAGTACTGCAACATTCTTTGTAAGTACAGTAATAAATAAATGTATTTCACTTATGCTAATGTTTAATTTAAGTTTCCAACAGACCATGGCTTCTTTTGGTCTGGCAAAATTGGTATATAGGAAAAGCCTTGGAACTAATGGTGCCAGAAAATTGGCATTGTACCTATGCTCTAATAATACTGTAAAAATAATTCTCAATATAGAATCTAACAAAACTAAAACTGAACTAAAAACTGACACTCAAATCTCTGTGCTAATGGCTCTGATAAAGTGTATCACATTTCAAAAGATTTGACCATGCTGTGAACCTCAAAAGTTGTAACCTTATTCTTTGTGGTGGAGTGACTAATGATAGACATCATAATTATATATTTTCTTCTTTCAACAAACCGGCCATACCCTACTGAAGTAGGGTGGCCCAAAAAAGAAAAATGAAAGTAATTATATATCTATCCCTGTATTAAATATTTTGCATAATAGAACAAAATCTGTTTGAACCACCTGATGTAATTACTGTCCACTATAGTAAACTGAAGGCAGTCACTGAATGCTTACCAATATTGATATTAAATCTTTTACATAAATAATTATTTAAATCAGACATATTTCTTTGGCAACTTTTTATGTAACCTTTATTTTACTCAGTCTTGTTTAATCTTACCATTTCTGTATGAATCTCAGGATTGTTACCAATACATTTTTATTATTATTGTTGTCATTTTTTTTTAACACGCTGGCCGTCTTCCACTGAGGCAGGGTGACTCAAAAAAGAAACGCATTCACCATCATTCACACTGTCACTATTTTGCCAGAGGCGCACAGATATGACAGTTTAGCCCCTTAACTGTCCAAACGTAGATCTACGTTCTTACTGCTAGGGCTCCAAACGTATATCTACATTTTATTTTTCTTGCCTCCAAATTTGGCGCATTGGCCTGAGATGCCTAGTCAGCATAGACTGGGTCTTAACACTCAGTGAGTGCAGTATTAAAAAAATCTGAGACCACTTACTACCTTGTGGGAGCACCAGTTCAATTGAGTGCCAGCTAGAGCAAACAGCATGGGAAACACCTGGGATTCACTGATGTCAATGTAGTGTTAACACTCCCATTTTAAGAGGAAAGTGATGTTGACCTAGAGTTTAGTGGCTTTGAGGTGGATGTGGCCATAAGTGTTCGAGGAAATATAAAAAAATTGTAACCCATGTGCAACATTTGTGCAACACTTTTTAAATTTTGGTACCACTGGTAGTGTCATCCTGCCAGAATGTCTTATGACCTATGCCCTAAGTAAATAGAAACAGTTCTGGAACATGCAATACATGTTTGGCAGGCAGGCTGGCTGGCCAGCTAGCTTGCCAGCAGCTGGCTTGGCTAGCTGATTGACTTTGGTTGTCTCTATCTCCATCTGTCTGTATCTGTCTGTCTATCTCTGCCTATCTCTATCTCTGTCTCACAGGTACACACAAATACAATTATACATAGTGTAAATTACCTAGGATAACCAAAAAAATCCAGACAAAGTGCTATACTGTGCTTGTAGATATAATGCATAGTAAGCATGACTGGCAAGTACAGTGGAACCCCGATTTTTGTCTGGTCCGGTTATCGTACAGTTCAGTTTTCGGCCACTTTTTTGGGGGCAAAATTTTCTATTTTTATACATCTGCTCGGAAATTGTCTGTACCAGATGTGTCCATGTGCCTGCGGGATGCGGCTTATACGTTTGTGACTCAATCTGCCCTTGTTATTTGTTTAGTGATCATTTCTCCGTGTGTCCTTCCAAGACATTTTTTAATAATCCATTTTTTTGTGCTTGTGACTGCTAAATAAGCCACCAAGGGGCCAAAGAAAGTTCCGAGTGCCAGTCCTTTGGTAAAGAAGGTGAGAAACACGATAGAATTCAAGAAAGAACTTGTAGAAAAATACACAAGTGGCATGGCAGGGAGTGACTTCCAGGACGATTACCTCTTCTTGGAGAAAATTGTGGCCAGAATGTGTCCTCGAGAAAGATTTTGAAGGGTTGGAGGCTGACCCTGATGACCCTATTCCTGTTGTGGAATCTATTGTGTCTTTGGGGAAGTCCATGGGGTTGGAGGGGAGTGGCCAGGATGTGGAAGAGTTGGTGGACGACCACAAGGAAGAGTTAATCACTGAAGAGCTGCAAGACCTTCATCTGGAACAGCAATAGACCTTAGCTGAGGAAATTGCTTCAGAGGAGGAGGAATAGAGAGGGGAGAATGTGCCTTCTTCAGCAATTAAGGACATTTGTTCAAAGTGGAGTGAGGTGCAAAGTTTTGTGGAGAAATATCACCCTAACCAGAGCTGTTGCAAGCCGTGTCAGCAACATGTTCAGTGACAGTGCCGTGTCCCATTTTAGACAAATCTTAGAGACGCCAGAAACAGGCCTCTCTGGACAGATTTTTTGTGCGACATGGATCCACTGACTCTCAAGCTGGTCCTAGTGCCAGTAAAAGACAAAGAAAGCAAGTAACCCCAGATAGATCTTTGATACCTGAAGTCCTTATGGAGGGGGATTCCCCTCTCAAACAATACTCTCTCCTCCCTCTCCTATCCTCGCTATCTTCCACATGCCAACAAGAGTCTTCAATAAAGGTAAAACTGATTTAAATGTTCATTTATCCATTAAAATTAGTGCTTTATATTCATTTCTCATTGTTTTCTGTATGTAAAACTATAGTTATTCTCTATAAGATTTATTTTTTGTTAATATTTTTAGGTGTCTGAAACGGATTAATTGGATTTACATTATTTTTTATGGGAAATATTACTTCAGTTTTCCTACAAATCGGTTTTCGGCTGACCTTCTGGAATGGATTAAAGATGAAAACCGGGGTTCCGCTGTAATACATAATTATACTTGCTCAGGAATGAAATGTGACGACGCAGGCAGTGCTGTGTAATACCTGTAATATCTGCTGGTTTACAAGTGGCTTTCTCTGAAACAGAGACAAGCAGACAGAGAGACAGATAATCAGAGACAGATAGAGAGCTAGACAGACAGACAGACATGTTTGTGTGTAACAGTGAAAACAAATAAAGCCAAGGCAGTGCATACTCATCAAATGTCGCCACTGCTGCACTGTGTCAGCAGTGGAGTGACACTTGTCTTACACCATGCTTCAAGTAAAATTATTATTATTATTATTATATATACTCCCGCGTATCCAAAACATTGCTGGGACCTATAAATACAATATAAATATGTACTGTGTGTATACATGTATATTTCTAGACAATAGTGTGAGTATGGTAGATAGGTGAATATGTTCACCTGTCACTGTGTTTGTGACTATTTGAGTACTATTTCAGTACCTAATATTAGTGTCAGAACAAAAATTAGATATGAAATCACAAGAACTACTACAAAGTGCAATTATCAGAACAAAAATTATACAAAATTATACTGTTGTATCTAAGTGCCTCTGCAGAGACAGTGATTATGTATGAGTGAGGTACAAGTGTTGAATGATGATGAAAGTATTTTCTTTTTGGGTCACTCTGCCTCGGTGGGAGACGACCGACATATTGAAAAAAAATATAAATTAAAAAAAAAAGAGAGAGAAAAAAAGGTATATTGGCAACACTTCTGCAAGTGGCAGCGCTTCATGTTGCCATCAGGTAAGCAACAAGCACCGACTTTGCAGCCTTATATCTCCGTAAGTACTGACTAAAATTTTCTTGGATATTTTTTTTTCTAAATATTTGGTGCGCTGGGTGAGGGAACGTAGATCTACGTTTGGACAGTTAAGGGGTTAGTCATCATTTTCATTATAGCTAAATGTCTCATCCAAATGCTGTGAATACAGGCTTTACAATTTATAAATTCATCCATTTTGGTAAAATATTTTTTTATGGATTTGAAATTTAAAGCTTTAAGATTACAAAGAAGTGAGTATAACTAGCCAGAAAAGAAACTGGGTCTTAGTTTATTCTGAAAAATTGGCTGTGGTATGTTAAAATAGCATAGCCCTCTGTTCTAGGATTAACAACAGAAAGAGACCATGGGCTAGATATGGCAGTTACCAGCTCCATGCACACCACTTAGAATAACACCACCAAGCCTGCTATTCCATTGGATGAAACTCTTGTTTCTTGGTTAGAGGTCCACATCTTTACCACTTGAGCTATAATGAAAAGTGTACAATATAGATCAGTATAATTTTAATCAAGGTTTGTATACTAAGACCATGGAAGCTGTGGAATATCTTACTGAAATATTTATAAACTTATTTGCCTAACTAGTGATGTCCTTTGTTTTCAAGCCATGATGGGGATCCTCCAGGAAAGAAAAGAAAAATGTCCGATGTAACAGAAGATGCAGTGACGGGAGCAAAGGTGTTTGTACTTCCATCAGGTTCTGTTCCAATCAATCCACATATTACACTGATGGTTGACACAATCAAGCCACTCATCTGTCAGCTCGTGGAAGAAGCTAATCTGGTAATTTATTTTTAAAGTAGAATGACTTGTCCTAGGTTGTGCTTAGTTGTGTATAATAATCCATTTTAGTACACATGAATTTGGAATTGTTCATTACATACTGTACACAAATGTTCTAGTACTAAGCAAAGGGGTGGAAGAATTTCAGTGGGGAGGGGTAAATGGAGTCAGTTCAGGAGTATCTGAGAGAAGTAGAGCTAAAGAAGTAGGTAGCAGTGATATTAAGTGTGGAAAGGAAAGAGGGGGTATAAATACAGCCTCTTCTTACTTAACGCAGTTCCTTTCCTAAGACCACATCAGTAAATGAATTTGTCACTAAGCAAGAAGCATACTATATTGGTAGTGGGTTTGTGTCAACCATCTTTGATATTGATTTAATGTTACCTTTGCACCATTTATAACTTTTCTGGTATACGTATTTTTAAATGTTTATACAGTAGTGTATTGTATATTGTAATAATAGAGGAAATCAGCTCTTATATACATTATTTAGGTATGCATATTGGTCAGAGAGCCCATCGTAAGTCCGAGTCGTCAGTAAACGAGTACAGTGGAACCTCTACTTATGAGTGCATCCACGTGCGAGTTTTTCCAGATACGAGCAGTCGCTTGGTCAATTTTTTGCTTCCAGACGCGAGTGAAATTTTTAGATGCAAGTGGGCCTCAAAGGAGGTTCCGTGACACTACCTGGAGGCTACCTGGGGCATTCCGGGGATTAACGCCCCTACGGCCCGGTCCACGACCAGGCCTCCTGGTGGATCAGGGCCTGATCAAGAAGGCTGTTACTGCTGGCCGCACGCAATCCAACGTACGAACCACAGCCTGGCTGATCCGGCACCGTCTTTAGGTATCTGTCCAGCTCCCTCTTGAAGACAAGAGGGACTCTTGCTCTTGATCAAGGGAATTCTACAACATGAGGCAGCAGTGGCGGACATCATGAGGTAGCCTTAAAGTTCATATTAGGGAAATATTGAAGTACAGGTCTACCTCAACATTCGTGAGGGTTAGGGGATCAAGAACCTCGCAAATGTTGAAAAATCACAAATGTTTGGTGCCCCAATATATTGTAGGGAAATATAATACAATACTGCTTCCTTAACCTATTGAACCATGAACAGTCATAAAACACATGAAAACATTGTAAAATATTGTACTAGTGCCAGCCATTTGGTAAAGAAGGTGAGAAAAACTATAGAATTCAAGAAAGAACTCGTAGCAGAGTACCAGAGTGGAGGAGGAAGAGAGAGGGGAGAATGTGCCTCCTTCAGTGATTCTGCGATATGTACGATACTAAAGCAGCACAAGTCGATAAAGGCTATAGCGCCAGCCAGCAATACGGTGTAGCATTAACAGTGTGGAAAGTAAGTTAAGCGATTAATCGATAGAAAAAGGACACCATGAACCCAACTCCTCCAATGTTGTTGGAGTTATATAGGGCGACTGATAACACCGCCATCTCTAGTCTACTGCCTCTGCTGCCACCTTCACCAGCATTATGTACAGCTTATGCTTTCAGTGGCCCTTATACACCCAACAACAACACAGCAACACTCGTGACGTACTTAATGACATACAGGAGGGCCCCACTTATACGGCAGGTTAGGTTCCAGGCTACCGCCGTAAAGTGGAACACCCTTTTTTTCCACTTATAAATGCATACAAACACTAGATAACAAGTTTACACTAACATATATTAAGTTAGCAATAGAACCAGGCATCAAAAAACAATAAAAAAGTACAATACACACATAGTGCACTCATTACTTACCTTAAAATATTTATAGTCTTAATCTAGGGTGAGACAAGTAGTATTTATTGTAAGAAATCAAGTGTGGTATGTATGGTAATAGCCAGGCTACCTTACCAGGCCACCCCACCCACACATACTATTCTATGATATTTAAGCATCCCAGAGCGATAAAATGTATATACAGTTCACTCATTACTTACCTTAAAATATTTGTAGTCTTAATGTAGGGTCAGGAGTAAGTAAATGAGATAAAACGAATAAATGAGAGAGAGAAAGAATGAGTACATGAGAGAGGACAGGCACAGAGTTATGTAAACAAACCAGGCGAACGTAAGTTTTGTAAACAAACGAAGTGTACACGTCTGGTTTGTGTACAAGTTACATTGTGTACAGGTTGTCTCTACATTGATATGGTAGAATTAATAAAGAAGAACACTCCCATTCTCATGTAACATCATTTTGAGAAGAAATGAAGCTCTGAGTGAAGGCAATGGAAATAAGTCACACTGACTTTTTGGGTTATCCTAGGTTCTCTACACGTATGTTGTTATGTATGATAATCTATGTAACTGTATTTGTGTATACCTGAATAAACTTACTTACATACATACGAAAGGAATAATTTTTCTACAGTTACCCCCAGTAACACATTTTCTCTTATGTTAGATTAGAGAAAATGTTATTCTTGCCGTCACTTGTACAAGTTATGTGGCTCCCACATCTTATATTTATGTTTATTTATTCTATTGTGGGGTGTATTTATAATCTTTTTATGTTATGTATCGTGTTTATTATATAATTTTGAAAAAAAAAATATCATGGATGGATTAATGAAAATGTGTATATTAACGTAATATACGACATTTAATGAGACTCGGTGATTATTGTTATTATTATCATTTCTAATATGGCGTCACTTGTGCAAGTCGTCTGCTACCACATCTCACATTTATGTTTATTTATTCTACTGTGGGGTGTATTTATCTTATTTATATGTTATGCATCGTGTTTATTATATAATTTTGAAAAAAATATCATGGATGGATTAATGAAAATGTGTATATTAACGTAATATACGACATTTAAATGACTCGATGATTATTATTATCATTACTAATAGACGTCTGGAGACATAAGACACTTACCAATTTTAATGTGTACCTGCATGCCAGCACAGTATGTAAGTTTATTTAGGTACAGGTATACATAAGTATAATTATCAGAGTATATATAAAATATGAAATAACTTTTAAAAACATTTGAAATTTTGGAGTTTCCAGACAAAATGGAGAGACTTAGTGCTTACTGAGCTCATGGAGAATGTAAACAAACAGGGTGGGGCACGGTGACCGTATTAGAAAGTCAGGTGGGGGGAGCCGTATAGCGAGTTTTGGTCATAATTTGAAATGTCCGTATTAGCGGAACGCCGTAAAGTGAAACGCCGTAAAGCGGGGCCTTCCTGTACAGTGGTCCCTCGTTTTTCGTAATTAATCCGTTCCTGGAGCCGTTACTATAAACGAAATTTACGATTTGCGAATCAATTTTCCTCATAAGAAACAATGTAAATACAATTAATCTGTTCCTGACACCCAGAAGTATTAAAACAAAAAATTTTTTTACATGAAATATACATGTAGTACATAAATAATACAATGGGAAATGATGAATGAAACATTAACAGCATAACACTTACCTTTATTGGAGATTCTTCTTAGTGTATGGGAGACTGGAGGAGGAGAGAGATTGGATTGTTTACAGTTTGGAAGGGGAATCCCCTTCCAGCAACACCTCAGGTACCAATTGCTTCTCAGGGGTTGCTTCTCTTCTCTGTTTCTTAATGCCACTAGGACCACCTTGAGAGTCACTCTAGTCCTGTCTCGCAAAGTAACTTTGGAGAGAGCTCTGTTTCTGGCGTCTCTTTAACACTTCCCTAAAATGGCCCAAGACTTTGTCACTGTACATATTTCTCACCTTCTTTACCACAGGCTTGGCACTAGGAGCTTTCTTTGGAGCCATGGTAGCTTATTTAGTAATTGCAAGCACTAAAATGAGTGGAATATTATGAAATATTTCGTAGGAGCACTTGAGGGGACCTTCACTCACTGGTAAACAATGCCAGACTGGCTGGGTAGGGAGGCTGCCCTGGCTCACACCGTGCATACGCGTCCCGGACGAACTACTATTCGCAAGTCAACCTATGAAAAGCGAGTCCATGTTTATATGAAAATACCCCTATGATTGGCGAAATTTACGATTGCCGAGAACTACGAAAAGCGAGGGACCACTGTATTTTATTCATTGTAGAGTATATGTCATGTTTCTATGTTATTAATATTGTTTATTATGTCATATTAGACGAATTGTGGTAGATAAATAAGCCGTAGAGTTGATATTAGTGTCATATTGAAGGGCTATCTTGTCCTATCTCCGAACACACACTGCCACCACCACAATTCCTAACATATGCAATGACATATTTTAAATATGATTGGGCGGCTGGGAATTTGCGAATGTTCGAAGCCCGTGAAAGTGGAAAACACGAATGTTGAGGGAGACCTGTATTTTGTCATGCCTGGAATGCATTAATTCTTATTTCGGTTAATTTAAATGAGGAAAATTGACTCGGCAAATGAGCAAATCTAGATGTGAGCAAGGTCATGGAACAGATTAAACTCATAAGTAGAGGTTCCACTGTACATCGCTAATTGAGGAGAGGCTGTATATAAATTCAAGAATTTTATGGAATAGAATAAAAAGTGGATGCAAGAAATAGGTTACAGTAATTGTTATGCACCTGTGTGTGAGAGGAGTGTAGAGAGAAAAAGATTTTGGGAAGTGTACAGTGAATGTTTAGGGAATTTTGAACCAAATTGTTTTGGGTGAACTAAATGTTAGTGGGAGAGAGTGTTATAGAATGAACAGTAGGTAAGTTTGGAGTGCCAGGGATAAATGATAATGAGCCTCTAATTTAATACTGCATGGAAAGAGCTTTGGTATTAGGTGATACATATTGTAAGGCTAAAAGAGAATATGTTCACGAAAATGTAGCGTTCAACAGCAGCAGTTTCCTAGACTGTGTATTGGTGGATGAAAGATTGATAGGTAGACATCTGGATGTGCATATTTGTAGATGAGGGACTAATATGTCAGATCAATGTTTAATGCTTTCAGGATCAAGACCCTTGATTTTAGACTTAGACTTGCTCTCAGGGTTGAAGAATTTAAAAAAAAAAAAAAATTATTTTATGAA